GGCGACTTGGCCACCTTCGCGCAGTTGAGTCCCATGGACGGGTCAAAGTCGAACGTCACTTCGGCAAACCCTGCTGTCGAGGCGCAGAAGACGTCTGCCCCGGCGTCGACCACCGACGCTTGGTACCACATGGTAGGAAAGGCACTTTGAACGCACACTGCGGCCCGCGTGTGCAGAACAATCTGAAAGCTTGCCTCCGTGACGAGGCCGCACTGCGACCACGCTTGGACATGAAGCGTCGTCTCGAGCTGGTGAAAGCGAAGGAAGGCCTCGTTTGCACTGTCCATCCACGGCCCGGCGTCGAGCCTGTGTCGCCAGAAGACGTAGCGAGAACCGTCGGACTGCATGTTGGCGAGCAACGAGTGGTCCACGACACCGGACGCCAGCGTCAAGAGCACGTGCAGCGACGTGTTGTGGGCGCATGTCGCGTCCGTGTCGCCCAAGGCGAAGCAGTCGAGCTGGATATGAACGTCGTGGGACCCATTGTACACTAGCGTTGGGTACACATTTTCCATGAGTTGCGCGGTGTTGGCTGCATACGCCGGCGCAATCGTCGCCACTGCCATAAACAGCGTCGGTCCCGAGGCCACCAAGCACTGATGTGTCGTGCATCCGACGTCCGCGCCGCTGCATTCCGGTGCGGGTGGAGCGCTCTTGCAATCGTGAAACGGCACCCAGAGCTCTCGCAGTGTTGTCTGTAGGTGACTGCAGCGCGTGCACTGGTGTTGCGCCACGGGCGAGTGCAGTTGAAGCTTTCCGCCGTCGGCGCCGAACGGGGACGCCTCGAGGCGGCGGCCAACGTCGGCCGAGACGGGTGCTTGGAGCCACGTCTGCCCCAGCACAAAACTGTCGTTCATCTCGTTGAGCTCGAAAAAGTCCCGCCGCGAGAACGACGTGAGATCGCACCGCGCCGCACTGCACGCGTCGTTCTCGGCGTTGATACCGTACTTGAAGTGCTGGTCGACGTTGGCTTGCGCCGCTGCGAGGTTGCTCAGCGTATACTCGGCAAGGCCTGGTGCTCCCCACGCGCACACGGCGCTCTCACAGAGAGCTTTCGGACACGTCTGCGTGCTGCGTGGTCGGTAGAGGTCCCGGATCACAAGACAGGCGCGGCACGAGGTGCCATTGCTGGCAACGTCGATGGTGTACGCTCCCGGTGATTTCCATACGACGTTGTCCAATGCACTTGACGGCAACGACGGCACGACGCCCGCGTAGACATCGTTTCTTGATGCGTTCGTTGCGCCCCGGACGTGGATCGCTACGGTGGTCGACGGCTGCAGCGGAAACGGCACATGCAACATCGACGGCGGTCGGCGGATGTGGCACCGGTTGCGGTCATCTCGGTCGGCGGACGGCGAAGCAATCTCGTATACAAGCGTGCGGTTGGCGTGCACGCATCGCCCGTCCGCAGGCGCTTCGTCGACGGGTTCACAGACAGCGCCGGACGCACGCAGCACGACGTCCGAGCCACTTGGACACCGACACACGCACTGCCGCGTACCATTCGCATCGAGGTAGAGCGTCGGCTTGCCATGCAATAGCCGTGACGAGCAGTAGTACCACGTGTCCAGATGTGGCCATGGCACCAGATCCACGTCTACGAGCGCTGCCAGATCGTCGTTTGCTACAATGATGCTGGATACGGCCGTCACGCCACGGTCGTGCGCGAGCGACGCGACAAGTGCTTCGGCCTCGTCGGTCGGCAGCAGCGCCACGATGCGATTCTCCGGTAGCAGCGCGTGCAAAAGCTGCCGCCCGTGGGCCTCGATGAGGGCGCCATTCGGGCGCGGTGTCCACGCAGTCAGCGAAACGTTTCCGCGTACTGCTTCGTCCGGCGTCACGTGCGATACCTCTTTCGCGTGTTGGGTGGTGTGGTGTTGCGGGCGATGATACCGGTGCATGGCAATCGGAGCGCGGGTCGGCTTCCGTAGCCGTGTCGGCGTCGGCTTGGGCGTCTTGGCGGCGCAGCTGTCGTCCTCCAATTGCATGGTTTGCCACACCAGCGAGCACGTCTGGCCATCGATGAGGTAGGCTTCGTCGCGCGTGACACTGCGCAGGCGATCGATCCACGACCCGATCGAATCAAGAACCGACGCGTTGCGAAAGCAACTCGAGATGGCAACCAAAACCGGGTACACGCAGTCGGGCTTTGTGATACCGCCGACCGCGCGATCGCAGACTGGGTACGTATAACCTTCGTTGGCAGAGTGCAGCAGCATCGGCGAGTCCGTCGTCGCCTCACCGCTGGCCGACCACGGGGTGTAGAGAGCATCATCGGACGTTGCACTGCACAGAGTGCCCGCAGCAGCTGCGGCCCACAGGAGGTAGCGCCGTGGCATCCTTCGTTATGACGGACGATTGCTTCAGGCAAAGCGATTCGTTCGAAGCGAACAATAGCATGGCGTTGACTGTCCAGATCTTTAAGCAGGTCTCTAGTATCCACATAGTAACATCAAGAGTGCCCGATGATGACGCGCATCGGGATTGGCTAAAATAGAGCTAAATGTGGATTGGCTAAAATAGAGCTAAATGCGGATTGGCTAAAATGCGTTGTTTATTCGACCCCACTCGGCTTTCGTCATCACAGTGTGTGAAGCAGCAGGAGCAGCATGGAGGCCATCGACAGCGACGCGTACAAGAAGGCCAAGGAAGCCTTCGTCTCGGGCAACAATGGCACGACGATGGGCGAGATCGCGCTCATCCTCTCGATCCTCTCGGTGCGTATGCGCACCAGGCGTGGCCGGCTAATCAGCCTCTGTAGACGAGCATGTGGTTCTACAACGAAGTCGTGTTCGTCCTCGAGCGCTCGGGGCTTCTCGCCGGCTCCAAGCTCCAGGTACTCCTGTTCTCGTAATATGCTCTCTTGCTGAGCCTGCGGCGTCTAGCGCACGGCGATCCTCTTTATCATTGAGTTTACCGTGCTCGTGTTGCCCATTTTGATCGGCTTTACGTTCACCGAGTACTCGCTTCCGATCACTGGTATACCATGCTTCCGTCCATGTCTCGCCCGCTTACGCAGCATCTGGATAGTCTTCTTTGGCGTCTTCTCGGTCATCCTTGGTGTGCTCTCTTGGAAGCACGCCAACGAGCCAATTCAAAAGCTCGCGCGCAACGAAAAGCTCACGCTGCTCAACGGCAAGGAGAACCCCGCCGTGACGTGCTTTCGCGCCCAAATGATGGTGTGCACGTACGTTCCAGCTCTCTAATACCGCGATTGTCCTCACAAGCATGGCCATTAGCGTCGTCGCGATTCTGGCCGTCGACTTTACCATCTTTCCCCGGCGCTTCTCCAAGACCGAGACCTTTGGCGTGAGCTTGGTACCTCTGCTC